CAAGCAATTTGAAGAGACTGTCGACACAAATGCTCAAGAGGTCCTGATGGCGAATAATGCTCTTGCAAAGGTTGCTGGCAAAGGCACCGTGGAACTTGACCTTACTTCTGGAAAGAAGATTACTCTTCTTAATGTTTTTTATGTACCCGAAATTAGGAAGAACCTAGTTTCAATTGATTTACTTTGTAAGAGGGGTTTTCGAATTTTGTTTGAATCCGACAAGGTTATCCTGTCGAAGAATGGGATGTTTGTGGGGAAGGGCTATGCCAATGACGGCATGTATCAACTAAGTATCAATAATATTTTCGTATCTTCTGCTTATACTATTGAGTCTGCTTCTTTATGGCATATGGCATAGTAGATTAGCACATATAAATTTTCGCTATTTAACAAATATGAAAAAGTTAGACTTGATTAATTTTAATGGCGAATTAGACAAATGTGAAATATGTGCTAAGTCTAAACTCATAAAGAAACCATTCCCTGGTGTTAATAGAAATTCGAATTTGTTGGATTTGGTGCATAGTGATATATGCGAATTCAATGGCATGTTAACTCGTGGTGGTAAAAGGTATTTCATTACCTTTGTGGATGATTGCAGTAGATATCTTTATGTTTATCTCATGAGGTCGAAGGATGAAGCATTCACCATGTTCAAGAAATATAAAGCTGAAGTAGAAAATCAATTGGAAAGGAAAATCAAAGTTCTACGTTCAGACAGAGGTGGAGAATATTTCTTAAATGAATTTTCTTCATTTTGTGAAGAACATGGTATTATTCATCAAGTTTCCGCACCATACACTCCACAACAAAATGGTATGGCTGAAAGGAAAAATCGATCTCTCGGAGAAATGGTTAATTGTATGCTTTCGAATTCAAAGCTACCAATTAATATTTGGGGAGAAGCATTGCTTACTGCATGTTATATTCATAATAGAATACCATCTAAGAGAAATAACGTGAGCCCTTATGAATTATGGAAAGGTAGAAAACCAAACATGTCATATCTTAAAGTGTGGGGGTGTTTGGCATACTACCGAGTACCGGACCCTAAAAGAACTAAACTTGGTCCTAGAGCTATCAAAAGTGTCTTTATTGGATATGCTGAAAACAGTAAAGCTTATAGGCTTCTTGACTTAGAATCCAATGTCATTGTAGAATCAAAAGATGTTGAATTCTTTGAGAACAAATGTTCTACAGGTTCTGAAATTATTGAAAATAATTCAAGACCTATAGAAACTCATGTAGATTCTCAAGAGAAAGGAACAAATGATTCTAGAGACGTGACTGAATTGAGGAGAAGCTCTAGAGCAAGAAAATCTAAGGATTTAGGTCCAGATTATATTACTCACGTTTTCCTTGTTGAAGGAGATAGAGAAAATAACGTGGTAAATAAATACCCCATAGTATTAAATTTAGAAGACGATCCTAAATGTTTTAGTGATGCTATGTCTTCTAGAGATGCTTCTTTTTGGAAAGAAGCTGTAAATGATGAAATGGACTCAATTATGTCCAACAATACTTGGGTGTTAGTTGATTTACCGAAAGGATCCAAGCCTATTGGATGTAAATGGGTCTTTAGGAGGAAATACAATTCTGATGGTTCTATCCAAACTTTTAAGGCTAGATTGGTGGCTAAGGGGTATAGACAAAAGGAAGGAATAGATTATTTTGATACGTATGCTCCTGTTGCACGTATAACTTCTATTCGAATTCTTTTTGCTATAGCTTCCATTTATGATCTTTGTGTTCATCAAATGGATGTCAAGACTGCTTTCTTGAATGGAGACTTAATTGAGGAAATTTACATGGAACAACCAGAGGGTTTCGTTCTTCCTGGAAATGAAAGGAAAGTATGTAAATTGACTAAGTCTCTTTACGGACTTAAGCAAGCTCCTAAGCAGTGGCATGAAAAATTTGATTCAGTCATATTATCTAATGGTTTCATTCACAATAGTGCTGATAAGTGTATATACTCTAAATTCACTAAAGACTATGGTGTCTTAGTGTGCTTATATGTTGATGATATGCTTATCTTTGGAACAAATATGACTGGAATTATTGAGACTAAGAAGTATCTAACTTCCATGTTTAAAATGAAAGACTTGGGTGAAGTAGATACTATCTTAGGTATTAAAGTTAAAAAACATAGTGGGGGTTATTCTTTGAGCCAATGCGATTACATTGAAAAAATGTTAAATAAATTTCAACATCTTGGTTTCAAGGACATAAGTACTCCATTTGATTCTAGTATTAAATTAAATTATAATACTGGTAGGGCTGTAGCACAACTTGAATATGCGAGTGCTATAGGGTCTTTAATGTATGCGATGCATTGTACTAGACCTGATGTTGCTTATTCTGTGTGCAAGTTGAGTAGGTACACTAGTAATCCAAATATGGAACATTGGAAAGCTATTACTAGAATTTTTGGTTATCTTAAGAGAACTAAAAATTTAGGCTTGTTCTATAATAATTATCCAGCTGTATTAGAAGGATACACCGATGCTAGTTGGATTACAAGTGTGGGTGATAAATATTCCACTTCAGGATGGGTTTTCACTCTAGGTGGAGGTGCTGTTTCTTGGGCGAGCAAGAAACAGACATGTATAACTCACTCAACTATGGAGTCAGAATTTGTTGCTTTAGCGGCAATTGGGAAAGAGGCTGAGTGGATTAGGAATTTGTTGTTGGATATCAAATTATGGCCTAGTCCTATGCCTCCTATTTCTATCCATTGTGATAGTCAGGCTACTTTAGCAAGAGCTTATAGTAGTACCTATAATGGGAAGTCTAGACATATTAGCCTAAGGCATTATTTTGTGAGACAATTGATTAAAGATGGTACCATAACAATTGTCTACGTGAGGTCAAGTAATAATTTGGCTGATCCTTTGACAAAGGCATTACCAAGAGATATGGTAAAAATGACCTCACAAGAAATGGGGCTGAAACCCTTTAATTAAAATCACCAGTAATAGTAACCCAACCTTTTTCTAGAACATCACTAGTTAGAAGGTTTAATGGGTAAGAACAAGTTACTGAATGTGATTGTTTGATACTGACGCTAGCCCTAATATGAGAAGTTAGTATCGTCTGTTACGTTTTAGAGGATGAATTGAATTCTTAATGAAGTATAGAACAAACTTGTAATGTGTTAATAGTAACAGAAACACATGATAGATACTTCACCTATATGAGCTTAGGAGTGGTGCCGCTTCTTACGAAAGTTTGGGTTACTTTCTAGAGAGCTCATGAAACAGGATCAAGCATAAGGCCATAATAGTGCGGAGTAATATAGAACTTCTCGCTGAAACAAGAGGTTAGTTTATGTGCGGTATGTCCGATTCTATTATTTAAAAGTACAAGTTTAAAGCCAAGCTACTTGTCACTTTGATAGAGTTTTGAGATACTTGCACTAAGTAAAGGTTTAACTCGAAAGAGACCTTTATGCATGTATATTAATCTCACCGAAATCTTGGCTGTATGGTTTTTAAAGTTTTTAAATTTTTTTTTAATCTTTGTTTTACAAACAAAGTGGGGGATTGTTGGATGTTTGTTTGTAAAACAAACAAAACAATGCTTTTTCCTTTGTCCCACATAGGAAAGTTTTGGGTAAGTGGGCCATTTTATAACTGTGAGTGTCTTCTTACTCCTTAGAGTGAAGACAACGGGGTGTGTGCTAGTCCACACAATACCCGCGTGCGGGTGCGCGAATAATTGCGCGATTTTGGCTCGATTATTAGGCGCACTTAGCACTTCGCACGCTTGCGCGGCCGCGGTTTAATTAGCTCTAATCCCTTTAATTTTTATTTTATTTCGTAAGGTTATCTCCTTAATCTTTATTAGTTGAAAGGTTGTTTTTTGTTTATTAAATAATTTTCGAAATTATGAAAATTCGGAATTTTATTTATATATTTTATTTATTTTATTTTATTCCGAATTTTACATGTGTCTTTTCAAGACAACTTTTGGAGATTATACCTATTCAGTTTTCAACCTTTTCCGAAGGGTTGCATTTGTTCAGTTTGCAACTTCTTCCGAAGGAATATCTTTGTTAGCTTTGCAACCTTTCGTGAAGAGTTGCCTATGAAGACCGATTTCTATATATGTCAGTTTTTGGCAAGAAGGAATTATCATTCAATTTTTTCAAGTCTTCTTTCGAAAAACTACAGCCATCATTTTCAATTGTTTCCTAGAGAGACCATGGAGAAATACTAGAATTGCTATCTAGTATTCTCATTTTGAGACTTTGTTGTATCCTGGAGGATTTTTGCCGGTGACCATTAGCAGCATTGTGGGGCAAATAAATCCTTAAGGAAAGTGATATCACGCCTCAAAGTCCGACTTGATTGCTCTTTGATTCGAAGCCATTCAAATTTTACAACAGAAAGTACCACCAATCAGTAGAAAATCTTTCGGACAAGAGGGACACAAATAAAGAAACCAATGATCGAGAACGAGGTGCGGCACATGTGACGACAGCAGAGGGCGTCCATGATGAGCTCAAACGAAGAAACTATTTGGCAATTTCACGACGCACAAATGTGTTTTTCAAATTGACAATGGTTGCTGTATAGGCCAATCGAAAATGTGAAGCAGACTTCTAGTTCTAGCATCATGATTCCTGACCAATGACTTCTGAAATGTAATTCAAACCACATCGAGTATTAAATGTCTGTCTAAGGGACAAAATTTTGCATTGTAGGAAACCACATTAATCTTTCGCTGGAATTTATTTTCAGAAAATTATCAAAGTACCTGGGTCGTAAGTAAATTCAAAGTTCAGTGCATTCAATTGTAATGCCAAGTAAGGTGATCTCAATACACTTGACTCTAAAGTACAAGGACCAGAAAATGAAATTTAGCCTACATGTAAAACTATCCGATTCATGCCGTATCAAAGTAAATGCGTGGACATTTTTTAGATACCTAAGTAAATATCCCAAAAATAAAGAGCCGCACGTACTGTCACACTCCATTCTCATCGGCAAATCAAGTAATCGAGAGGCAAAAAACTGGATTTGACTATCATATCGTCATCATTTTCATACGCACTTTGCCAAGAGCAATAAAACTCAAGAAGTGACCAATAATCGCAGCTTATTCTAGTCAAAACAAAACGAGACAGACGTCGATGATCTTCATTCGCTACCCTTTTTTACTCGTTTAAGAACCTATTCAATTCAACCACCTTTGGCTGCTGAAGTAATACTAAGAACACATCATCAGTCCAACAAGAAAAGACAAAACAAGCAAAAAACAAGCCAAAACTTAAAAACACCAAGCAACTCTCTCATCCTTAACTCCCATTTCATCTTTCACCAAGAACCTCAAACTCTGAGCAAGTAAAGGCTGAGCTCGGGACCGCCGCTCCCGTCGGGGCTCATCATGTAGAACGCCTCCGAATCCCCAGTTCCGACCACCCTCTCAAACCTCGCCCTCATGTACATCATCTCCCCCTCCTCCCCCGCGCCATCGCCCTCATCGCCCGGCAAAACCCCGGCCCCCATCGAGACCACTTCCAGCGCCCTCAGCACCTTCTCCTCCTCCTCGCCACACCCACTTCGCAGTGCGTAGCCACACTTCCTCCCGTTGCAGTACGTCCTCCACAACGCCTCTTCTATGAGCTTCCCGCCATTCTTCTTCTTCTTCTTCTTGGCGGCCTCTGCCGCTGCCGTTGCCTTCTTATCGCACTCGAGGGCGATCCGCACAAGCCCTGATGCCATCTCACGCACCAGGATGCTCGTCGGCACCGCCAGCTGGATTAGGAAGGCCGGGGCCGAACTTGGGTCGTCCTGGAACGCGAAGTGGACATGGCCCCGCCGGTTGCCGAAGAGCGTCCCGACCACATGCGTCCTACGCAGGGCGTGGAACTTGGAACGCTTCTTGCTGAAGAGGTGGAGTGCGGAGCGGAGCTTCGGGAGCTTCTTGGGCGGGGCCTGGAACGGGGTGAGAGAATTGGGGACAGGGTAGTCGGGCTCGTCATGGATGGGGTCGTCATCGTCGTCGAAGAAGTGATCGGAGGAGGAGCTGAACTTGAAGTTGAGGGTTTGGTCTTCGTCGTCGCTGGTGAGCTTCTTTCTCCAGTTGAAGTAGCGTCGGGAGAAAGAGAGGGAGGACTCGTGGGGCGAGCCTGAGAGGATTGTCTTCATCATCACAGAGAAGACAAGAGAGAGAGAGAGAGAGAGAGAGAGAGAGAGGGCGTTTTGGTTCTCTCGATCAATGTAAGGTTTTTGCTTGTAGGAGGACGCTGAATTGCCGGGGAGTTGGAAAGAAATATATATATGTGAGTTAGTGTGGAGTCATTCTGTGTTCTCCGGTGGTGCTTTTTGTCAGCGTTTGTGGGACTCACTGATGAAGAAGGAGGAGGAGAAGGAGAAGAAACGGGTGAGAGAATAGAGACAGAGGGAAGGTGATCAGTCCCACCTAACTGTTAACAATGGAAGACGAAAGTACACAGACAAAAGTCCACAGAACGAGACAAGTGATGAGATCTAATCCACGAAAGTGATGATACACACACAGAAACAGACCCAGAGAGACACAGAGAGACGGAGACAGAGAGACTGTTTCACAAAAGGCTACTGTTGAGCTTTTAGGATCCAAGGTCCCCCTGTTCGGGTATTCATACTCCCTATTGACAAAAATACACGAAATCCACTCCCCGTGCGCAGGTGGAGATCGGAACCACCCCGATAAGGTCATAGGGAGCACTGGAGCAGCGCCCCGCAACACCAGAGGGCTTATATAGTTCGAATCCGTATTTTCTTGATAGTTTGGGCTTGGACCCATTAATAACTACTGAATATATATATAATATTTTTTTTATTTTGTAATTGAAAGTTATAACAGAAAGATATGAGGTATTAATCATAATAGAATTCTCTGCTAGACGTAGCTCTAGTTTAAGGGTGAACCGAGATAAACATTGTATTTCGATCTCTCTGTCATTTTTACTTTCTATTTTATTGTATTTATGCGCTTATTCCTGATACTCCTTAAGTCATCAAAAATTGAAGGATTAGGGAAGTGCCATTACTTTGGATTAGTGGGTAAAAGAACGCCACGGGAGTCAGTAAATCAATACCTTGATTTTCCTAATGGAAAGCGACGTACCTCTGACTATGACAGTTAACTTCCGTTGGTGGGAGCACAGAACAAAACTCTGGCTTTGCATTGGCAACGGTTAAGTTGGGGAAGGTAAAAGATGCACCAACCAGGGCGACCAAATACCCACCCGGCGACCGCTGCCTGAGCCCCTTCAGTAGTTCATTCTCCTTCCCAACTCCGACCCAAGCACCACTGCACGGACTCCTACCCTCGCGTCACCATCGGCCCATGCACAACATGACCATCGATAATGAGACGTTTGCCTCGTCCTTACCACCTCTCGTACCCACCTAGATCGGCTTCATCCATCGTGAAATTCATCATGAAATTCGATGGTCATGTTTACACTGTATCAAGTTATCAACAGGTCGCGGTACAGACGAGAATTCTACTGTCTCATTTTTCTTATGCCCACCTGTCATGCATATGGATGCATTATCCCAAAAAAAAAAAAGATAGGGAATTTAGAAAAGAGGGTGCTATCAACAAAGGATCCTAGGAGCGCATTATGACCTGAGACCATAGCATATATGTCACAAATGTCGTGCCTACGGATAACGGGACAAAACTAAGCTGATTACCCTATTCGGGAACGGGCTACATGTCTAGAGCGAGCGACCTACCTCCAGTTATTTAAGCAGGAATCGAATCAGATCAGGGTCAAGAAAAACCGATCAAAATAGGGTTTGAAAATTGGTGGATCCTGAGAACATATTGGGTTCCCCATTTTCTTTTCTTGGAGGAGTCAAAGGGGTTTGGAATTAGAGCCACGCTTTCATCTTAGAATAATGACAAGCGGGAGGACCAAACCGGGCTTACAGATCAACTAACCACGATCCTCAAATCGCACCAAACTCCTAAATAAAAGTGCATGCCACCTCACTAATTTCCACGAGTGCCCATAGATATAGCGGCCTTTTTCGATCGTTAATTTAACTCCACCAGCTTCGCATATGACTTCTATGGGTAGATTAGAACTATCAACAAGCTCACGTATGGGTTGGTGCAACACAAGAAAGTTTCGGTCCAATAATCCATCCACGCATTGGCACAGCATGGCGTGGCATGGCACAACATGAAATAGAGATGATCGGTTCTCAATTCAATCCAATCTCACCTAGGAATAGGGAACCCGGCCAGGAAGACCAATTCTCAATTTCTGAAACTGGAAACTGGACCGACCCGAGCGATCCAATGAAACCGGTGGCACGTTCTCTCTCTTCCCAGACCAACACACCCATGGGAATTCGGATGGGTTAAACCCCTAGAAGAATGCCCAGACCAACACAGTCCTCGTTCTCTGCCCTGACCAACACACCCATTACCTTCCCAAACTCAAATCTCTCTCGCACTCCATGAAAGTGAAGCGTCGCCCACACACACCATCAACAAATAAAAGAGCAATAGAGGGAGGCTTCGAGCTTGATCGAGAGGGAGGCTTCGAGCTTGATCGAGAGGGACGCTTCGAGCTTGATCGAGAGGGACGCCAGGTGAGGCCTCGAGAGGGAGGCTTCGAGCTTGATCAAGAGGGATGCGAGATGAGACCACGCGTGGGAGGCTTCGAGCTTGATCGAGATGAGTCATGATTAGATCTGTTAAACGGATAGATCGGGTCGGGTTTGGGTCAGGTCATAAATGGTCCGATCCAAATTGATCTATTAACCTATTTATGATCCATTTATTTGTAATATAAATATTCCGACCCATGCCCGACTCGACCCATATTAGTAAAACACTTCTATATTTAACTAAATATAGGAAAACTTGCTTCTTATGACTCTTTTTAAAATTATACTACTAAAATATTTTCATACAATACAAGGTTAGTGATCAATTTTTATAAATTTTTTTTAAATTGAGGTTCTGTTTGTTTCATGAAAAATGTAACATTTTGATAAAATATTTTCCATAAAGTCATTTTCCAATAAAATAAAAAAATTTCCAGTGTTTGGCTGAAACTTGAAAATGAATTAGAAATTTTTTTCCGACGTTTGGTATATAAAATATGATTTGATTTTACTTCATGCATGCATTTTAATAATTTTAATAATTTTTATTTTTTTAAATCGAATTTTTAATTATTTTTTATTTTTTTCTGTTTCCTTTATTCTTGGTCGGTGGCCGACCACGGCGAGGTCGTATCTCCCTTGTGGCCGGTGGCCGGTTGCCAACTGTCGCCGTGGCTGGCCACCGGCCTAAAATAAAGAAAAACATAAAGAAAATAAAATAAAAATAAAATAATTTCGATTTTTTAAAATAAATATTTTTATAAAAGGGAGTGAGCTTAATGGGTGGGTTGGAAATGGGTTCTACACTCAACCCATTAAGAGCCATTTATGATAGACTTAAAACTTTAAAAGCCATTTAAGATGGGCTCTTCAAAGTTGTATTAACCCATTTATGACCCATTTATTTTTAAACGAGTCATATATAGGTTTTAAGACCCATTTAATAGGAGTAGTCATGATTGAGAGTCATGCGAGAGAGCAATTGAGAGTCCAACGAGAGAGGCGTAAGCGATTAGGGATTGTGAAAGTCCGAAAAAGGCATGATTCAAGCATGTGTGGTGTGTCTACAGCGTGAAGTTAATGGGAGATAGAGATAGATTAGGTTTTCTTTTTTACAGAATTTTAAGAAATTAAAAAAATTAATAATCGGTTCGGGTGGGCAGTTCCATCCTTGGAACCGGAAATCACCAATTCCAATTTTATGAAACCGAACCGGTCCCCCCGGGAATAGCCCAAACCAGCTGGTTCAATTCGATCCGGGCAATTCCTTGTCCGGGTGGTTTCCGTTGCTCATCCTCATTAGACCAGTCAAAATGGATCATAAACTCATTTCTTACCTCATATATTAGTAAATGGATCATAAATAGGTTAGTTATATTTAGTAAATGGATCATAAATTTGTATATGTATAATATGGGTGTTAAATGAATCATAAATAGGTTTACAACTTATTTAAACTCAACTTATCTCTCTTGCCCTCACTTAATTTCGCGTTCACTCACTCCACACTCTCATATTAGTTTAGGTATGAGTTTTCCTAGATTTAGTTAAATATGAAAGTATTTTAGCAATACCGGTCGGGTCGGGGATGGGTCAAGAAAATTGCATTGCTCATAAATGAGGCATAAACAGGTTAATTAGTCAATTTAGATTGGACCATTTATGACCCTACTCAAACTCGATCCGACCCACCCATTTAGTAGGTCTAATCCCCAATATGGAACCCAACATTAGATTAAGCTTCTACAATATAGAATTGCCGAGATGTTGTCTACAAGTGGCGTTAGAAACATGGAGAAATTGTCCAATTGGTCCTAAACTTATTGTACGGACGTCGATTCAGTCCTAAACTTTTTTATTTTATCAATTAAGTCTCAAACATTTACGCGAAACTCTAATGTGGTCCTCAACTTATTTGGAGATCACTGATGTGGCGGAAGGACTGATTGTGTAATTTTCCCAATTAAGACACAACCACCGTGATTTCGTGTGTGGTAGCATCTATACGGATCTATTGAAAGAAGTTGCTCAAGGGGCGATGCCGGTCATGTCTCTCATTTGGTAGGTGTCGCGACCTAAAAAAATCGGGTTTTCCGATCTTAGGCTAATGGATTACTAGATCAATTAAATTAACTAACCTAGCTCGAGTTCTCCCAAACTCTACCAATTCGCAACTTAGGTCCAATTATGAGCATGCAAATATTTTCAATGGGAGTCGTCACTAATCATTTAAGGTAGGTTGATTAGAAACCTAAATAAAATAGCGGGAGTACTATTTTATTTTTGCGAACCAAAAATTATGGATTCGGGGACTTGGTTACGCTAGATTCCCTAACGCCCTTTCGGTACCAATTTCAAGAAAAATACTTAATTTGACAATTTTGATAAATCCTGACTTAGAGTTCAAAGGTGCAGAAATTTTCTTTTTTGATTTTTTTTATTTATTTAAATGAAAGCTAACCTATATGTAATGGCGTGCAAAAAATTGACATGCGATTAATGCAACCTAACATGCAAACTATATGTCATGCGACGACGTGACCTATTTCTAATGACGGACATATTATTTTTTGTATTTTTTTCTTTAATGAAATTCGGAATTAAAAATGCCAATTATCTAAACATGCAATTTTAAACTAAAGAAATTAACCTATTCTAGAGTAATATTTTTGGCATTTTTTTTATCGAAATTCGAAATTAAAATCCAGTAAAAAAAATATAACCGCTAAATCTTTCGAATTAAGTTTCGATCTGAAGCTTGACAGATCGATCCTAAAATTCGAAATA